TAGTCCTCATGGAAGAAAAAAAAATTCTTGGAAGCTTTTAGAAAAAAACTAAATTCATAAACTAAAAAACAAAATGCAAAGATTTAATTTGTAAGTACATTTTTGATCAGTGACAGTCTGGGAGGTATTTGGCATTAAAAATGTGAACTTGTTATATTTTTGACGACATACCGTCTTTCCTTCTTTTCATGACAATAATTAATTGTCATTTGGATCAGTTTTGCATAACAGTGTTACCTTATAAAAGCAAGATTGGGCATTGTGTTTGCCTCTTGCTTTTGTGTGTGATCAAAGCTTAACGGTTTTCAGATGCAAAACCAAAATTATGTTGCCAGTATGACTGTGCACAGGCCAAATTCTGTTTGTTTGGAGTGCTGCATCTCACTGTGTGTCAGAAATAAAAGGTGCCATAACTGGCACAGCCTAATATATTTTATAAAAAAAAAAATCCTGAACGTGTCTGTTCACAAGTAGGAGGTTCAGGAATTTTTGCAGAAATCATTCGCATCACTTTCTGCCTCTCACATACAGTTGCTGACACACATGGGCTGGTGGAAGAGGAACATGGATCACTGTCTGTCTATCGACTGGCTGAGCGTGTTGTCACTCTCAGAGTCGGTCCAATGTGCCGCGGAGAGGATTTAAAGAAGGGGGGAAACAAGGATAACTCAGATTAGCTCGTCTCTATCTCCTCTGTGATCTGCATCCAAAGCGGAGCTGTGGACAATCACTACTTGAAACTCATTCAACTGCCTTTTTGATCTTGCTTGGCACAAACACGCAAACGCCACCCATACTGCACTCCTGGCAGACGCATCCGCTCCAAGTAACTACCAGGGATGAATGAGAAAGAGAGAGTAGGAGAGAAAAATGCGTCTATGTTTAGCTCTATAGTGAGATTGTGAAAGAATAAAGAAAACAGTTACTGGTGCCAAGAAATAAAAGGATGAATAACTTTTGGGTCACTAAAGTAAAGAAGGTGTAGCTCTGTGACTACAACAAGCTCTGTGTTGAGTAATGTGATATCATGCCCTGTATAACAACCATGAAAAACACCGCAGCAATAGTAGCTGCATATGAATGTACTGAATATAAACCTTTCAACTTGTTTTGTCCAGCTGAGCAGAACACTCTGACCTCTTACAGTGTCTGCTGGAGACTAAAATGAAACATTAAATACGAGCAGTCTGTCTCCACAACAAATCTGCAGTTCAGCAGCCGACCTCCCGCCCCGCTCGTCCCCCTCGAGCTAAGCTGCACAAAACAGCGATGTCACATTTTCAACAAAATGAACAAAGGAGGACACAAACGCAGATCAAAGCATCGCCAATTATACAACTCTTTTTTTAAAATATAACTCTACCATCATTGTTGGGTTTGAAGGCAATGTTTGCCAGCCTTCATTACATTGGGTGGCCCGATCAACAGCTGGTCAACTGTATTTACGAAGCAGACTTCTATCTGCCACTTAATGCAGAACTGTACCTTTCCACTCTAGAAATGAAGAGCCGACTCTCAGGAACGTATGGGCATTGTCTTAAAAATCATGTTGGCATTGAGATTGTATTCTTAAACAGAGCATATGGGCTGGAAAGGATGTTTTGGAAACATACAATTTATAATTATGAAGTCTTGTGCTGACCAAAAGTAGACATAAGGCAAGTTGTTTACGTCTTGAGTGCATTCATTCTAATTTGTGCTCACCTAATTCACTGGGGATAAGATTTAAAATACAAAAAAAACATTAATAAATCAACTTAAAGCTACATGTAATCCAGCCACAATGCACATTCAGCCAATAGGAGGAACGAAGATGAAAATATAAAAACTCTGGGATATTTAAACCACATATAAACACGTGATGTCAGTTACAACTGTAGTCAAACTCTGAGAAAACAGGATCAGCTCGGCGATTAGCGGGTCTCAAAGCCACCAGCGCAGCCTCCCCAACGCTCGTGTTGCTGACTGCATTCTTGAATATTAGAAACAGAAAGACAATCTGTTAAATGAGCTACGACTGCCTGCGTCTCATCTCTAACTCTCTCTCCGTATCGTTATCTGTCAGGGACTAGTCGTCTCGCAAAACACACCGTATGATGAAACTGCTTCAGCGGACCCTAAACGAGAGTCATTAGAACACATAACAGACACTCATAGATTGCTTTGAAGATAAAACGAGAGCTCCTGCAATGAGAGAAGTAAAAAAAAAAAAAAAGCACAGTGATAATAAATGGCAGAGATGCTTTTCCCTCTTTCACCTCTCAATTTCTGTCTGCCTCACGGTTTGTAGTACATCCCGCTTGTTATGTCCGTAACACTGACGGCGGAGGAAGGAAAAGGAAGGTAGGCAACGACGGAAAGGGAGGGAGGGGAGAGCAGGGCAGGATGGCAAGGACAGCTAAATATCTATTTCTTAATCCTGTTGTTTCTCGCTGCTTTCATTATTCATTAGGAAGCTTTCGTACCTTTCAAAGTGCTGCGACCCTTGCCAGGTGTCTTACTGTAAACTCTTCTTCAAAGGGTCGAATCAGTGCAACCGATTCAAAAATCTAAGCCAGTTCAGTGTCCATAGACGGACCGCATTGAGCTCTAAGTGAGCCAATAAGCTTGTAAACACAAAGTAAGTGTTCAGAACGAAGGCAAATTGCCTACTTTGGCACCGATTCAAAGCCGGCTGGCGACGCTCCAAAACGACCACAGCTGCAACAAAGTCACAAATAGTGAATCAAGTGAACTGGTGCTGAATCGATTCGCTGCTATCAGACAGGAAGAAAGGAGGAATCAAGTTAATTAAAGGAATCAGTCACCGCTATGGTGCATTTTCAGGAGACTACTCCGGGATCCTGCACCGCATTTTTAAAAAGACGGGTTATGTTTTAGTCTTTTTGTCAATAAATAGTAACTGTAAAGAGTAACTTGCACGGTTTATTTTCTGAAAAGCAAAATCCAGCACATTGGCTTTGAAAGTTCATCCATTAGCTCCATCCGTTAGAGGATGGAGACGCAGGAACAGGTTGCTAGTCAACCACAGGACGAGCACTTTGATGCATCGAAAGTCAGCTGTGCATAACATCATTAGAGTTGTGTGACTTTCACTTGTGGCCTGAAGGACAAAACTAAATTGTGGCTCCTGCTGATATTCTAACCCGAACATAGCCGGAGGACGGGAAAAGGAACTTTGCAAACACAGCTAGACAGACTGTATTATTAGAAACGTTAACCCTAAATAATTTAGTGTGATTATATGTACCTTACAAACCAGCAACATTTCTATTATATAAATGAATAATTCATTTCTTCATAAAAGTTTATCTGTATAGTGACATGAAGCAACGCCGCGGAACGCTCTAATGTCTTTTGTCTGAGAGCAGAATAAAGTTTTAGAGCAAGTGGAGCGACTGTTTGAAGACTTTGTTGTGTTTATCAGACTTGCTTGATAAGCACATCAAGGGAACAGATCATAAGAGGATCGCAAAGCTCTCATCCAGAAACATAAAATGACAAGTAACGATAAAACACAGAGCAGGAGCCGAGGGTCAATTAAAGAAAGAAACACTAATAAAGCTTAAACAGCACTTTAAAGTTGCACTTGTTTAATCGGGGAACGACTTAGATACTAAAAAAGAGACAGGAACTATTGATGTTTCTGATTGAATATTAATAAAATCGATCAAATCTGATTAATGATTCTTGTAATCAGAAGTCAGGAATTCTGATTTTACAAAGAAATACACGGCAGCACCGATGACAATTATGCACAAAACATTTATTCACTACAGCTACAAGACAAACAGTAACGCAACAGTGAAACAACAGACAACGGATAAAAGATAAATCAGAGTATACAACGTGTGAGTAAACTGAATAATAGTGGTGATCGTCACTGGAATCAGTTAGTGATGGAAAAATCTTAGAAACACTTTAGATCTGAGAAGCCAATTGTAATTTCTAAATTCACCTATTTAGGAGAGGGACAGAGATGCTTCTGTATCCTTTGAAAGTAGCTGCAGGATCAACATGCAACGTCAGGAGAAGGAGTGAGAGAAATGAAGAGGAGATCTGCTGGATGAGTGGGTTTAGGAATGTAGAGAAGGATGGGCCTTTTAGTCGCATTGAAAAGTTTGCAGAAGTTAAAATACTAAGAGTCAATGCTCATAGTTAGATGGAAAAAGTTTTATATGGAAAAAGTTTTAAAATATAGCTGAGAATAGCTCAAAATTAGTGCCGGAAATTCCTCAGTCAATAGTGGAAAAAGCCCTTTACTTAACAAAAAAAACCCCAAAAGGCTCATATTTTTAAAGAAAAATCCCTTTACTTAATATTTATTTTATATTTTTAAAGAAAAAGCCATATTTAAGTTTAAAAAAAATAAAAATAAAAGCCTTCATTGCATTCCAGTGACTTTCTTTCATACAGAAAGCGTCGGAACAAAACCCAAATTAGCAGACAACCCATCACGGACGTGTTCACCTCAAGGGCTGGCCTTGAGCTTCACTGTCCATAAGACACCTTCAGAACAGAGTTTGAATTCATTCCTTACACACACAGATCTGGTTGTTAAATGGTTCTTATAATGACAGATCTGAGATTAAACATGACATATTCGTCTCATGTGGTTTCTGAGACACTAATAAAAGGTGTAAACATGCATATAAACTGTGAAATGTCATTACACATGACACCAAAGTTGTCGTGTAACTGAGTATACAAGCATATACATTCAACAATAAGAAAATCAAGAGACACATATACGTTCAGGATAATCGCTTCTCTTTGTCTTCTATGACTGACAAAGAGAAGCCGTCTGTGTGTCTTGCGAACGTACACTTCAATGCCAAGGCGTTCTCTCCAATACCATCCCACGCTACGCTAAGACGAGCACGACAAGAAGGAAAACGGACGATGAGAAAACAGAAAACATCAACTTACATGACACTCCCAAATCATTCTTTTCTTTGGGCTCAGTGGACTTCTGCAACAATGAACCTTTGGGGGGCAAACAAAAAGGAAGGGATGGTGGAATGGATGGAGGAAGGAAGGAAGGAGGGAGAAAGGACAACGACAAAAAATTAAACAACTCAAATGAAAACGGGGGGAAAACATGACAGGACACAGACTTTGACATGCCAATGTTTCTGCTTATCTACGTTAAGAATACTTGTGCTCAAAAAATGGTAAGAAAACAAAAAAGGAAAATTTGAGAAACCCCGTGTGTGAGGCTGCTACTGCTGTGTCATGCTGAGTGGTCCACTTAGTGGCGGCAGACAGAAGGTCTATGACACAGATAAACTGCTGATGTACTGATGTATAATTGAAGCGCTGATGTATAATTGATAAAGGCAACATAGAAACATGGCGCGCTTAAAAGCTTCTCGACAGACCAGCTGACTGTGGAAGACACACAGATTCGGCACTAAAGAGCAAGAAACACTGGCGAGGTTAAGTGGGGTGATGAGCACATATAAACATACAGTAACGCTCGCACAAATGACAGACTTAATGCCGCGTTTCATTTTAGCGGCGCGGGCGGATACGGAGCGGCATTACCCTGGAATTTCAAGGTCTTACTGTATTTTGTCGAGCTATGTAATTCCATCTTGTCGTGGTTTCAGCACAGTTATTTTAAAAAATAAATCAGATTTCTCACTCTTGTGCTAGAAGACTGCATTCATGTAACTGCATCCAACAACTATCACAGTGATTAATGTCTGAATCAGCGATGATAGCAGGAGCAACATGCCATGACAAATATTTAGCATCTTCTCCCAATTTAACACCATTGTCCAAACAAACAATAATAATGAAAATATGGCGGCAATAAAATGAAGCATACATTATTTAGCAAGCGCCGACACACACGAGCATGATGGGAGGGGGACAAAAAAATGGCACAGAATATTTAAAAAAAAAAACAGTTGAAATGCTGTTAGCTGCTTTCTGTGACCACAATGAAAAGGAACAAAAAAAGAGGAAGAATGGGGAGCGTTCAATGGGGAGAAGGGCTGTTTGATGCCGAGCAGCGCCTGGTGATACCGCTGATCGCTTTGTATAATACAACACAAACACAATTCAGCGCTCTATCCAAACACCCAAGTTGCATAACAGCCAGCGTCTCCAGCGATTACTGGTGGTTTAAAGAGACTGCGCGGCAGATTGTGTTTGCTCTGGAGGCGCCGTTTACGTAGCATCCGCACACGTGTGAGCGCGCGGTGGGCAGCGATGTGAAATGTCGTGTTCTCGGAGATGACACGGCGGAGCTCTGAGCGAATCTCTTTCAAGAGTTCTGATCAAAAAAAATAGTCAAACATAACAAAACAAAAGCAGCACTGTAACAAACACACACTGATGAAAGTCTCAGAGAAAGGAGTCACTCCATGCGGGTGCAGAGGTCAAATGATTTCTACCTCTCAGGGTTTTAACAGGAAAACTTTAGAGAAAAAAAAGAGGCAGCGAGAGACGTCGGACGGTGGAAGAGATGAATAGAGCAGGGGGAGGTGTTGGTGGAGAGAGAAAAAGAGGAGAGTGAAGTGCTTTTGAGCACAAAGTCAATTACAGAGCACTAGTGAAAACATTAACTCCCCCTCTACATTGACATTGTGCTATCAGTTCATTCAAAACCTCCAAAGTTAAACTATTTTTGAAACCAAGCATCACAACAGTGGACCGTTCTCTATCTATCAGTGTGACGATTTTACACACAAACACACAAACACGAACACGAATCCCTTCATGCCTTTCAAATACACTGTAAATACATTTTCTAGAAAACGCCATGAATGCAGAAACTCCTCCAGACAAGCGTACGTACAGCAACGCATACACACAGACACACACACACACACACACAGTCGGTGGATTCCGGTTAATGCAACAGGAAACAGCTGAAACATTAGTGCTGACATAAAACCACGTCGGTGCAGTCATTTTAAAGACAGAAAATCAATCACAGGAAATGAGCCTAAATCTATACCTCCCTAGGTTTTATCCCAGATTCTGTAGCCATACCTCGCAGGCCGCAGGGAATCCTTCTGCTGGAACATGGATGCGGTATAGTACACCATGTAAGGAGAAGGCAGGGCTGCATATACAGTAAGTTCAGTCAATAATGTGCCTTTGGCAAAAACTTCCTCATGTTATTCCATTGCTCATGACAGAGACAACCTATGAAATCATCACCGCTGTCCACTCCTTCCTGGCTGCAGAGAAACACCTCATTTAGTCACTGATACAAAGTGTAGTTTTTTTTCAGAGTTTACATTTCTAATAACTGTCATAAAAACCATAACGGAAGCAAAACTAAAATAAAACTACACTAGAGTTCATGCAGGGACGATGTAATATTGTTTTCAGGAAGAATGATGTATGCATTTAACCCTGTTCAGGGCTTTTGGGGTCTTTTGGTCCCCAGGCCATTTGTTTTTTTGTTTTTTTTTATATAAAAAAAGGGGACATTTGTCGTGCATTTGAAACCAAACATACATCAACTGATCAGAAAACGTATTTACCATAGTATAAATGATTTAACATTCTTTCTAGGCCAAAAGACCTTCTACATATAGCAACATGAAAGTCCTGAATAGGGTTAATAATTCATGTTTTTTGCATATAAACCCATGTTTCTCTGACTATCATGTAGTACACAAAGACCAGTTATTGAATTTATTGCATGCACATAAGCATAAAGGGCTCCACTTATTGTGTGTGTTCTTCACTGGCTGCCTCAGAGAACATCCAAGTAGAAAATAAGGGTCAAAATATAATTTCCAGGGCCGCCACTTTAGCTCAACTGGTTGAGCTGGCGACCCATGTACAGGGGCTATGCTCTCCAATGCAGCGGTCATGAGTTTGAATCCCACTCGTGGCCCTTTGCTGCAACCCCTTTCCCCATTCTCCTCCCCCACTTTCCTGTCTCTCTTTCAACTGTCCTATCTAATAAAGGCAAAAAGGCCAAAAAAGTAACTTAAATATATATATAGAATTTCCGAAAACAACACAGCTAAACTGCTGATGTAGCAACCTCAGCATATCTTATCAATAAGACTATGAGAGTAC